GAGAAATAAAAAACTACCGCGAACAAATTGCAAAAGAATTTCTTTCATTATAATCTAGTAAAGGGATGTCTAAAGGACTCCCAACTCAAAATTGTCCACTGAAACCCTGTAGCGTTTTTCATGATTAGCATAAATCCAAGATGGCCGCCAATTGGACTTTCCGGCCTCCATATCTTGGAAACGGCTCGTTTTAGAGCAATAAATGTATTATTATTAGATACAAAAGTGATATCAACGAATCGGAAAATAAAATTATCACCACGCCAGCATGTTATGGTGTGACGTCACACTGCCGTTATTTTGACGTCAAAACACTGCTTTGATACCGAATAAGCGGGTTTGACGTGAATTCTGATGTCTTAGAGAACTCAGAATAAGCGGGCTGTGATATAGTTTGGACTGGAATCCAATCTGGTGATTGGCTTGGAATCCAGTCTGGGGTTTCCCAGATATTTGAAACTTTCTTTTGCTAATTTTGTGAAAAGATTCGTATTTCGCCATGGATACGTGCATTATTTGCGGCAATAACCTAAATAATGGTGAGGATGTTGTTAAACTCTGGTGATTGGCTTGCAATCCAGTCTGGGTTTTCCCCAGACATTTGCAACTTTGTTTGCTAATTTTGTGAAAAAAGTCGTATTTCGCCATGGATACGTGCATAATTTGCGGCAACAACCTAAATATTGGTGGGGTTGTTGTCAAGCTCACCAACAAGGGATCGAATGTAATCAATCAGGCTGCTCAGCTTCACGAGTTGGACATTTCGGTCACCCCTAATGCTCATGTGCATGTACAGTGCAGACAGAATTTCACTCATTAGATTGGATTCCAGACCAGTCAGTCAGTGTCACAAAAAAAACTAGATCACAGCCCGCTTATTCTGAGTTCTCTAGGACATCAGAACTCACGTCAAACTCGCTTATTCGGCATCAAAGCAGTTAGTCCGGTCGTCAAACTCAATATTTCGAGTGAACCTGGAAGTTGTCTACAAAGTTTTTTTATGATTGATTTTAGTAGCCTATGGTGTCCTCTTTCAGAATCTGCCGGGTGAACTTCGGTCACCCTTGAGCGTTTTGAGAAATTCAAAAAGACGGCCACCATTTCAAATAATCCCCCATAACTCCCATAGTATTTATTCTAGGAAGATAATTTTGGTGTCTAAACGTATGTTATTCGGGTCAAGGAATATACTGAAATCATTCATATGACTCATGAGTGATGTGATAACATCACATACATGCCTATTAGGGGCTCCATGGTCACATGGGTCGGCCCTGAAAATGGGGGGGGGGGGCACAAGCTGTTTTTTTAACAATTAAACAAAGTCTACCCACAAAACACGAAAATAACCCCACAAAACTAGACAATTTTCAGTTTATTTGGTTGTATTTCTGGCTGCAACCTAAGACAGTACAAGCACAAAATATTGTACATTCTAAGCCATCCCTTGTGCATCTACAAGCAAGCTTACTGCATGAGGTGTCATTCTTGCATCCGCATCTGATGAAACACATGACAGACCCCGGAGCAAATTGGCCGGTTGTAATGTTATCAATTTAGTATCCTTCATCCAGCAATAGAGTTCTGGATCAAGTTCCGACGGATTACCATCTTCCAGTGAACACCACACAATGGCTTGTTGACGAGCTCTTACGTTCCCTGTAAATGCATCATTCATTGAGCAAGACTACCATGTTTGAGTGGGAAAGATGACTTTTGGATGTCCATACCCACCAGCGTGTTTCAGGCATTGATTTGCTAGAACTCTGTCCATAACAAGCTGACATAAATACAGTGGCCCGTGTAAACACCGATTCTACTACTCCGACGAGTGAGAGAGAAAATACAATCAAGCTCTCAACCACTTCCAAAGCTGTAGCAGCATGTAACCGTGTCATATCGAGTAAGTGTATGGGCTGACAGGATTTCAATGATAATTGACATGTGTTTCTCCATAGTTTGACCAATGTCAGCGACTGTTTTTTCTTTGATTGGTGATTCCATTGTGACGTGATTCTTGTCAGCGTGTTATGGACAGAGCTCTTGCAAATCGACGCCTGAAACACGCTGGAGGGTATAGGCATCCGAAACTGAAAATATATCGTCATCATCCACATTTAAACCATGTAGTCTTGCTCCAACGAATGATGCATTCGTAGGGAAAGTAAAGAGATATCACCACCATGCTGTTATGTGGCGTTCAATGAAAGATCGCAATCCACCGGAACTTGGTCCAGAACTGTATTGCTGGGTAAGGAGACTAAATTGAGAACATTGCTCCTGTGGCTCATGAAATGCGGATGCACGAGTGACGCCCAAAATAGTACGTTTGCTCTTCTAGCTGCCAGTCGCGGCGCCAGCCACCGGTGGTTGGGACAAAGCTGGGGCAAAATCTAAGGTTAAGGGGGCAAGTTCACGAGCTTCAACTAGGGGTAAGTGGGCCTCCCCCAGAAACTTTTGAAAAACAGGCTGCCAGAAATGCAGCCTGGCAGTATTTCAGGCACTGATCGTTGAGATAAAGTCTCAAACGAACGGACTTGCGAACCTCCACGAAGCCCACTCACGAGCGCCAAAGTAGGGACTCCTTACGGAGGGTATGGGTGACCTTCCCCAGAAAATTTTGAAAAAGAGACTGCCGGAAATGCTGTCTGTGTATTCAGTCAGGCACCGATCGTCGAGATAAATAGATCTTACCAGATACTGTCCGTCGCCTGATCACTAGTTTATCCGACCAGAGAACAAAGTGTCAAACGAACGGACTTGCAAACCTCAACGAAGTCCCCTAGGGATCGACAAAGTAGCGAGTCCTTGTGGGGGGTATGGGTGACCTCTCCAAGAAAATTTTGAAAAATAGACTCTCGGAAATGCTGTCTGACAGTATTCTGGCACAGATTATCGAGATAAATCGAGCTGGTCTGATACCATACGCCTGTTGTCCGATCACTAATCTATCCGACCCCAGAGAGGAAAGTGTCCAATGAACGGACTTGCGAACCTCAACGAAGCCCCCGAAAATTTTAAAAGTAAACTGCCCGAAATGCAGTCTGGCAGTATTTCAGACACTGATCATCGAGATATATAGAGCTTACCAGATAATGCCTGTCGCCAGATCACTAGTTTATCCGACCAGAGAGGAAAGTGTCAAACAGACGGAGTGAGTGAATCAAAGTGAATGAATATTTTCGCTACAATATTTTGTGTAATAGACTGCGGGAAATGCAGCCTGGCAGTATTTCAGATACTGGTCGTCGATACAAATAGAGCTGACCAGATACTGTTCGTCGCCAAATAACCAGCTTATCCGAACAGAGAGGGGGGTGTTAAACGAGCGGAGTGCGTGTATCAAGTGAATGCATATTCTAGCCGCGTACGTTGAACATATACTCAAAAACTTTGAGGATCATGAAAAGCAGTTCTTAAGTGATTCATGTGTTGTTGTTTATAGTATGTTTACAGCAGGATGGGCTTGGTAAGAAATCACTCGGCGGGCTCTATAACATGCAAGTCTATGACTGAGTGGGTATGTGGGATTTAATCACTGTAGAAGGTATTAATTACCGAAACGTATCACAAATACTTTTTTTTATTTTCTAAAATTATTGGGGGGGGGGGCAAACAGGGCAGACCAGATTTGCCGCCCCCCCCCCCCGGCGCCGCCACTGGTAGATGCACCTAGAACGTATAGTATTTTGCACCTGTGCTGTCGCAGGTTATAAATATATAGTTTGGTTTGGTGAAATAATTATTGTCTAAACCGCCGCTATGAAGTTAAAGGGTCATATTGTCTGGCATTTTGCATTTTACTATCATAATGGATGATTTCAGTGTATTCCTTGGCCCCAAAACATACGGTTAGATACCAAAATTATCATACTAGACAAAATAATATGGGGGTTATAAGGGATTATTTGAAATGACGGCCATCTTGGGCGCCATCTTGAATTTCTCAAAACGCTCAAGGATGACCCAGGTTCAACCGGCAGATTCTTAAAGAGTACACCACAGGCTACTAAAATCAATCATAAAAAACTTTGTATACAAGTTCCCGGTTCAGCCATATAGTGCTGTCCGACTAAGTGTTTTGACGTCAAAATAACGTCAGAGTGACGTCATTACGTCACAATGCCGTCATGACATCACACCATGACCTGCTGGCGTCGTGATAACCTTTTTTCCGATTCGTTGGTATCACTTTTGTATCTAATGATATACATTTATATGCTCTAATACGAGTCGTTTCCAAGACATGGAGGACAGAAAGTCCAATTGGCGGCCATCTTGGATTTATGCTAATTATGAAAAACGCTACAGGGTTTCAGCGGACAATTTTGAGTTGGGAGTCCTTAAGACATCCCTTTACTAGATTCCAGTGAAAGAAATTCTTTTGCAATTTGTTCTCGGTAATTGCCAAACAGAAATTGTATCTCTCCGTCTATGAGTATACATGGGTAAAACGTTTGAAAGGAATTCATGGGCACACATCCGTGATGGTACTTTTCGACGACCGATTCATGTTAGTAAAATTACTCTATTACAATTTTAAGATTACATAAAATTAATATTTTTTAAACCAGGTTCTTGAACAATAAACATTAAAAAGTACAACACAAACTGACACAACGTATATTTGTAGTAACAAAATCAATCTCGGTCACGTATACAACGATCATTAATATTATATAGAATAATTTAGAAAAATATAGAAATGGAAAATAAGTCAGTTTTCGATGGATCGCTTATGAGTATGTATCAGACTAACGATGGCAGTGCCTTAGCCTAAGACCATAAGTGAATTTGTGATCTAGAAGTTACGAAATACTGTTAAATATACTCTTAAAAAAAAGTAGGGGATATTCAGAAATAATACAAAACTGCGGAAATGCACTGCTGTTTTTATTAGAGGTAACTAGTGTATGTTAATAACAGGTCATATGGGCGGCTTATCTGACGGTTCCATTTCACTCGCAAAGAGATACACCGTCAAAAGTGAAAATGGACGTTTTTGATTTTTGTCTTAATAATGAGTAATTGCTCCAACAATCCTCAGACATTCAGCAATTTGTCGTGGCATGCTCCTAATCAGCCGCCCAATCACGATTTTGGGCAATCTGACCCACTCCTCTTGCAGTCCCACGGCCACTTCTTGCAGTGTTGTCGGTTGACGTTGACGAACACATCTCCCGGTCAAATTAAACGTAACACACTAATGCAAAGATACGCTAAACAGTAAATCGTATGCAAGAACCGATCGGAAAGCAAATATGGATAGATAAACCAGCACGCGGCAGTTTTCATCAAGCCTTCCTTGAAGTGTCAAATTTAATAATGAACCCATCCCACGTGTATGGCGCTATTGCGTGTCGCATGTGCAGCTCAGTGGTTCTGTTGGGGCGATAAATTCTTCATCTGTGAACATACTCTCAAAGCATGTCAAATGTCCATGACTATTTATCATATCGCAACCTGCATAGGTATTTGCATTTCAATATCCTCTACCTTTTTTTGAAGAGTATATAAATGCCCATCAGATGAGGCGCTGTTATTCACGCAATAGCTCTCAGATCTGGAACTTGTACCGAGTGTCAGTGAAAGGAGACGAAATTCGATGTGTTAAATAGCCATTTAGAAGCACGTCTTTGAAATTCAAAATTCAGAGCAGTGATACAGTGCTTAGAACTAGCACAACGGTTCCAGCAAGTACAAACAAATCTCAAAATCCAATCTTTATCGAATTTACACGAGTTCCGGACAGATGGATGGAAGCAATGAGTAAATGCATATAATAACTCAACAAAAATGGTTGACATATTGGTATAACCGGCAGACAATCATATTTATTTGAACAGTTCAGAAATATAATCCGATTTAAAATCATCATGAAATCTGAACTATCAATCGTATAGAAAATGTCAACAGGTCATATGCCTATAACAGATAACATCATACTTTTTAAAAAATACTAAAACCACAAATGATAAAATATGTTATTAATGTGGTTAGAGATAGTAACAAAAAGACCACAAGAGAAACAGACTGTGGACGATATTAAACGATGACATTACAGACAGTGACAAAAAGAGAAGCGGCCAAAAGTAGAGATGTATAAATTATGGACATAGCCCCTGCAGCCTCACATGCTTCGGGTGCTAGTTTGGTAACTATTTTGGCATCCTTTTCTATGGAGGCTGCTCTACAAGTCGGCTCCACCGGTTTTGCGTTCATACAGGTCAAATAAAATTCAGCCTGTCTGTAAATAAAAAAAGAACATTTGATAGTAACAATATGTATGTAATTTATACTTATCATGTCATCTTTAATTTCAATTTCAGGATAACAACTTTTACTTTTAATTATTGTCAGAGCACATTAAGTATTATTTGTCGCAGACTTTCTAAGATGTACTTAGGCACCATTGCAATGACACAATGATAACTGTAATAAAACTAATATCTCTGATCTCAAATTGTGGTCATATATTTAACGCACATGTATACCGAGTGACAAATAAGTGTAATATTGAGTAGAGTGGCTATTTGGTGTGACCTGACCTTGATTTTAAACGCTTTACCCAATTTCCAGATCGTATGATTGAAGACATTGATAAAACAAATGCTGTGGGGACTGGTATCATATATGTTAGTATATGTGAATCAAGTAAGCCGTCCTGCCCCATGCAAGATATCAATCATAACTACTTATAGGTGGAAGACGATAGCCAGTTTGAAGTCGTGAATATATTCTGTTGGAAAATTTCATATATTTTTTAAATAGGTGTCTCTTGCATCACAGAGACTTAAGATTACTCACATGTGTAACTCGTCTATCCTTAAGATGCCTCATAGTTGACATAATAATATTGCGATTTGCATATTTGAGTAACAAAACCATTGACAGTCCACTATGTTTATTATAACTAGCCTTCTACGTTATATGTGCAAGAATAAAGGTCAAAAATATAAAAGCCACTTACTTGCAAATGTGATTCTTCTTGACGTCGTAAGTGTCTTTGGCGAATAGCCCCAGGGGATTGAGACCGGCAGCAGTCAATTTACTGCCTAAACAAGTCCTTACGTAATTTCCAACACAGTTTCTTTCAGCTGAAAAGTTCATCATCAGGATAAATATAAATTAACCAGATATAAGATCAATCACCAATTTAAAAACATTGATTACACAGTATGTTTAAAAAGTGGCTATTACAGCCACATTGACGTAATCGGATTATTTCTGAAATGATTATTGAATACACCGACCCCGCCTTCTGCTATTTCTGAGAATTGGTCATATATCAAACCGCCTGATAGTTATTACCACAATGTTTCAAGGGTGCCATGCAGAGTTCTTAGTATGCAATAAATGTATTTTATCTATCTACAAAACTGGTATTATCCCTCCCACAAATTCTATAACGTATCTCAATTCAAGGTTTGGACGAAATAGCCAGATATTAAGCGTGTTTAATACTTTTAAGTGCAGACATTGAGTTGTTTTAAGATATTATTTTATAAACTTCTATGACACAGGATAGTGTCCCATTGACGAGTTGAAAACCTGTGACTAGGATAGTACCACTTCTCCAGTTTGGTCCTACGGAGCAGGATAGTCTTACATGAGCCATTTTGTTTGCTGTGTTTCACACTTTTTGCACATAGGAACACGTTCTTGATCTTATAATGTCAGTTGCATCTGAATTCTTACCAATACTAAATGTCTACTGTTTCTCCGAATCAACCCAGAAATGACTTTTAACATAAATAATGTCATTTGCCTTGTCACTGCTAATCAACATATGAAAATATGTTGCTGATAAAGTTCAACTTACTAGGTCCGTCACTACAGAGTATATCATATGCTTCTTTATAATTACTTGAAGAAGCTATCAATTTCCTGTCGTTATCCAAAACACATCCTCTAAGTAGGTCAATGTAACAACCAACGGCATTCTTATTGTTGTTTTTCGATGGACTGAAATTTATTAATCATAGGATTTGCAATAGTTTTTGAATGGTGGCGAAATCATGCATATCAATTCTATTCGTTATCGTAAAAAAAATCAAACATTCGTTTTACAAAGTACAGCGGATATAATGAGGCGTATTCATTTGGGAGGTCTTGGACTAGACAACTGCATCTTGTACGTTTAAATTATTCCCAAATATTATGTAGCAATGTCCCGCTTTCGGACATACATTTGAAAATATTTTAAGCTCTTTAGTATGCACAAATAAATGGAACGCATTTTACTTCAACATTTGAGCCTCAACGGTGCTACTGATTGCATAAGTCCAATGTAGATAATATCCTCTTAATACTGGATGGAGGATTAGAAGAAGTGGTATTATGCAATTCCTTTACATGGATAATATGTGTCATGATGCGATCTCCATAGTACTTGTCCAATGAGGCACCATCGGCAATGTATGTTTCGATTGAGAGCCATCTTGAAATGCATTGGGGTTTCCATGAGGGGCATTTGTATTATATCATTTAGACTTTTACGTCGCTACATGATAAATGAGCACATAAAGGGGGAATGTATTGTGAGCCCTAGCCAAGATATTGTACCAAACGGATGAAGAAGATAACATATTAAAACAAGCAGACAGAGGCTGATGCTCCCGCTGCAATTCCAAAATAAATTGATGACACATTAATTAATTGCATATTTATTTTTTTTAAAAAAGTATCGAGCAATCAACCTGGTTCTATATTATTAGCCTAATGCTAGGTCCCCCACTGTCGTGCGATGCGTTACGCGTTACTTACGTGAGTATATAAGACCTACTAGGATCACCACGATTTCAGTCGACGCACGCATCGGGATAGTGAGAACTAATCATAAGCAGAAAGTATTCCTATCGAACCCAGTCATGGCTGTGAAATTAGTGTGTCCCAATGTCTCGACCAATCAGATTGAAGACTCTACGTAGCCTAAACAAGAAATGTATTGAAGTTGTAAAACTTTACACGATGTTTCACCACTCTCACTAAAAAAGAATCAAAGTTATCTAGCGCCAAAGTCTCAACCGATCCGATTCAAGTCTTTACTTACAAATAGCCTAAGCAGAAAATGTTTATTTTTAGAACTTACTCAAGTAACTGATGTAATGAAACTGAGTATACATGAATGCGTTAGGGGGGACATTACAAATGATCTGTTAAAAGCACGCAATCTAGATTTTTCGTCCGATCGGAAAACTAAAAGTTATTCATTACCAGGCCCTCATTCCTACATCGTTACTCAATAAGCCAACAAGGTTCGAACTCATTCATACACGGAATATCCTCTCAACAAACAAATATTTCTAATATTGAATAATAAATACCCGCATATTTCAGTTGTGTTTTGAAAGAACAATCCCAGTATATTTGATAGTGTTCGTATATCATTCCTTACTGGCAGACCATTATCTGTATAACATTTGTCAATTTTGGAATTAAAGTCTGCACAAGAACTGGTATCAAATTGTCCATTAACAGCATAACCTAGTAAGACAAAATAAAAATTAATATATATCATTATTATTACATCGATTTTCACCTGACACCCCAGGTCAAAATGGTAACCTTAAATGCGCAAATCCTGTTTCACTGATTTTAGTGCTTAGCCAATCAAAATTGAAGTATCTACTAAAATCTGGATTTTATCTTCAGTTAAAATTTCGTGAAACAGGCCCCTGGTTTAGAATTAAAATGGCGAGACTATCCAACATAAGCACTCAAAATTTTCAGAAAGACAATTGTCCTCTATTATACACCCAAGTTTCATCTTGAAGCAGACAGTAAATAATAACCGGTCATTTCCGGAAGCCGAATTGATATAAATATGTGAGTAACGCTTTAGAAGTTCAAGATCGGGGTGCTTCCTTGTGATTAAATTAGAACATAAATTAGTATAGATGGTTCACGAAAAGCTGTATATTATGGACCAGTGAGACACGATTCGTTAAATGGGGGGATATGACCGAATGGTTAGCGCATGCGCGTTTTATCATAAGGTCTGTCATTGAGTCAACTGGCGTAGTGTCGCTTCCCCGGTTGTACGCTGATAAGGAGTAGAGTCGCATGTCCAGCCTCGTGGGTTTTCTCTGGGTCCTCCCACTTACGCGCAAGCGAATTATTGAAATAAAATTGAACCATATGTTAGTCCCGAAATGACCTAGTTTGTGCCGAGTGGACCAAGAAGTAAAATATTTAAAATATAGGTATAGTAAAATTATTAGATGCTATATGTTCACACCACATTAAATAATTACATATTCCCTTCATTCAGAATCTTTGGGATCCGGATAACCAATATGGAAGTTTTATATGGAAGGAGTAAAGTATTTAAAATATCGGTATAGTGAAATTATGATATGGTCATAACACAATTAACAATTACATATTTCCTTCATTCACAATCCTTCGGTGAAGTCGATGAAGTTATGAACTACAGGTAATGCTTCTTCAGAATTTTTGCAGGTATTCGGTTTCTGATAATCAATTTGGAGGATTTATATCAACTAATAAATTAGCATTAGTAAATATGAACAAGGACCAATATAAATAGGTACAATCTTATGATGGATCATGCAGAATTGGATCCTAATCTGTTAATAATTACAACCTGTAAATTATGTAGAGAAAAAAAATATTAAAAAGTGAGTGTGAAAACCGCCCATTGGGGGGGGGGCAAATCATGCCCCAAAATCAATAGTTATCGTCCTTAGGATATACACAAACTTTGGGTGTAACTCTGCCCCTGGGGGTCGTCACATGCAGCAAAATGCATAGTTGCCTTAGGCTATAAAGATTACATATGCCAAGTTACAAAAGACGATCCATTAAGACTTCTGGCCTGTAGACAGTCAAACAAAGAACAAATGAGCGTGGCTCTGTTCCTAGGGATCGGGCATTCACCCAAAACAAAGGGAATTGTTAAGAATTGCTACCTTTAGGCGACACACAGACACGCACAAAAATTGGGCGTGGGTTTACCTCAGGGGATCAGGCATGCACCAAAAAGAAAAGAGGTCATCCTTAGGGTATAAGGAATAGGTGTAAAAAGTTTTCAACACGGATCCATTAAGAATTGCTGCCTGCAGGCGACACAAAGATACGCAAATAGAAAATGGACGTGGCTCTGTCCCTGGGAGTGCACCAAAAACAATATTAGTGATGCTTGGGTATATGGAAAAAGTATGGAAAGTTTCTAAATGACCCGTTTAGAACTGCGGCCTGTACACGACAAACAAATACAAAAAAAAACGGCGTGACTCTGACCCTGGGGATCATCCATAGAGTATAAGGTAAAGTATGCAAGGTTTCAAGACGATCAGTTAAGAATTGTGGCCTATAGGCGACATACACACAGGACACACACACACACACACACATGGGTGACGGCAATATACGTCCACATATAAAAAGTACATAAAAATAAACCTTATGCAAAGAAATTTGAAATCAAACATGACGGAAGGATTAATTTTCTCAAATATTATTTTTGTCATTTAAAGATTATTCGTTACATAACTAGAAATCAATCCCCCTCTTCCTTATCGGTCTTATCCCATCACATCGACATTTCGACACCAAATAGATTACAGGCATTCACTTAAAATTAGCTAAATGCATGTGTCAGCCTTTTCATATTAATATCCCTTGATATAATCTTTGGTTCATTGTTTCAAAAATATTAATTACCCTCATTAATTACGCTGGCTACCATCTTGGGAGAGTTATGTTTACCAACACTGTATTTCCTCACTGAAGCAGAACTAAAGTATTAAACATGCATTATGCAAGAGCTAAATCTGATTATTGCAAGTCTTAATTTAGGCTTCAGATGTTATAGAAATTATAAATTAGATCTTTTTTAAACAACAAGACCAAAATCAACTCTGTAGACCCACGGATGGCTCGGCTACAGCTCGGATTTAAATAGGATTTCACTAATTGATCAAATAAAGGATAACCTGATGAAAATAAGTCAGTTAGATCGAGGCTAAATGAAAGAGTGTACTTAGCGAGGCCGCTGTAAAGCGTTTCGGTATGCCATTGAAAACTTTACTTGATAATCGAGATATGTAGGTGGAGTTAACGCCTGTCAATCAAACGATCAGCGAAGGTGAAGACACAATTCGCTACCATTTCTAGGCAAATATTACGACGATGATAACTATTTTCAGAATAAAGTAATTTGACTGAATTTTTCAATATATTCTTCTTTCATCATCTACTTTTGAACTGTTATAGCAAGGATGGCCAACTCTCTATAAAAATCTCCCATAATGTATCTTTAACTAAAACAATGAATGTCAGTTGGGCCTTAAGAACTCAGACCGTGGCAGGCTTAGACCCCATGTGACCCACTACTGACTAATCAGATGTGTCCAATGAGTTAATCCTTAATCTTACTTTAAATACGAATGTAAGACTTCTTCCACACTCACCAACAAACCCCAAAGAAGGTGTGCACCGTCCTGCCATTCAACCGGACAAATCCACCTGACCGACAGAATCGACTTATATATATATAAATATATGTACATACTATGTCTAAATGTTTGTCCACGTTCATCTCTGTTTTGTCCCATATGCGTCCCGTTTCGCCCGGTCTTTTACTGTCTTCTGTACATATATATATAAATATCTAATAATTCGTTAATCCCTTTTTTCACTAATCACATTGTACATTATTGCACCATGTATACATAACATGTTATTGTCTGCGATATCACCTCGGTGGAAGCGGACGTAAAATACAACTAACGCACACTCAACGTCTTCACAATACAGTATTGGAACTTAAACTCTCTCTTCTGTTTTAATTCAAGGTAAGCCATGTTATTCTGTTTTGCTGACCTCATGTTATTTACATTTTTTATTCTTACATGATTTTATTATCTATTATATATATTTTATTTAGTCAAACATTATTTCTTGTATATATGTAATTTCTCTTGCATTATGTATCTTAAATGTTTATTAGTTTCGATTGGTTTAATTATGCTCTTATTTAAGCATAGGCTACTAAAACATATTGGACAGGCATAGTTCTATTTTTATTTCACGTGTAAATATTCGTTAACCTTTTTTAACTATATTTTATCATTGCTTACTAACCATGGCAGCATATGGTACATAAAATATATTCGTTAGTCCATGTTCAGTTTGAGCTCAAAAGTGTTGGCTGCACTTTAATATGCGCGCTAAATCATATTTATTTTTCATGTATGAGCGTAAATTGCATTATGTAAGATTTAAGAGCTAAATCAAACGAGCAAATGATTAGCTAAATTTAGATTTACGTCAAAATGACAAGTCGGCAGCTACGCCGCCTATCAGGAACACTTGTCGCCTCCTACAATTACATACGTAATGTGATTTACAAATAGTGCCTCTGCACAGCCAAGTGAGTTAGCCCCCCCTACCCTCATCCTTTTATAACTCATAGTTCATTTGCAGATATATTGACTTAAAATTGTACATTGTATTGATTTTGTATTTTATTATGATTTGACACAATACAGTATTGGAACTTAAACTCTCACTTCTGTTTTAATTCAAGAAACGCACAAAACAAATTAACTTCGGCGTATAACATGGACAGGCTCCTTTAAAATATGAAGGTTCAAGTTATATTTATAGGATGGCGTTCATGAGTTAACATGTTTAACACACAGAGGCCATAGGCATTGTAAGTAACATCATGCATGACCTAATTTAACACTATAAAATTTCCACTTAATCGTTTTTCTAGAAAGCAATACAATATAAAGCATGACTTTTATTCTACGCCTCAGGACCAAACAGACAGCAGAATTCGTAGTAAGCTTTTGTATATATCCGTTTGAACGGACCATTTACCAACAACCGTGTTAGCCTGTATATATTGTTTTAAAACTATCGCTACCACCAACGTAACAACAAACCGCATTGGGATAACACTTATTAATGAAATTTTATAAATATTATTTTTGCGTAAATCATGGAGGATAATATAATAATTTGCTATTAAACTAACCGTCTGTCATGAAAAATTATATCTAGTTTGCCTTTGCAGCTTCGGTGGATATTGTGTAATAATGAATTTATTTAAATTTAAAATACAGATGTGACGTCATCATTTGATGTTGGCGTGCCATTATTTCCAATAATGTACGGGCAACTTGCCAATCGTACATTATCTATACTAGATGAAATATTTCATTGAAAAGCACGTGCGGGATAGTGTCTGTATTTTAAGTTCTTTACTGATATACTGAAACAACACTTGGCTAACGCCTGAGTCTACATCTCTTTCTCTCAACCCCACTCCTGTGAAAGTCTAACCAGCGTGGCTAGACTCAGGAAACTACTACATCGTGAACGTGAAATGGTCGTCTAAAGAATCTAATGCGTATATGTGTTCTAAAGAATCTAATGGGATTCAGAAAAATTATTCTAGCCCCGCTCTCTTATAGGTGCCGAATGGCGTAGGCTAATTCGTAATTTTCCACTCACGTGTATTTCAAACAATAACAACATATTCTTGAAAAATGCAAATGACCAATATGTTTACTAAACTATAGCTTTACTAAATAACGAGCATACTTTCTATATTTTTGGTTAAGAACTTAGAATCAATAATATGAAAGTTAACACTATCGTTTCAGCCATCATATTTCTCCACCCCTTGTCTTTAGACCCCCCCCCCCCATGTCCTGTTATTGTCACAATAGTTCATAAGCAATTTAATTTGCGTTTCAGAATTAACTTATACCATAGCTAATATTTTGGCAATGGAGAATAATTAATTAGAACCACAATTTTACATATGTGTTCTTTAGCACAAATCCCTGCCATCAATATTACTACAGATCTTTTGGTTATAAACATAATATGTTTTAAGTTTCATCAAAATCGGACAAAAATTGTGAGTCCTCAACGGTGTCCACAACCTTCGTGTTACATACTTTTACACAAATGCGTATTAAGAGCGGCCATTTTTCGGGACAGTTTCGTTTCGATTTTCCCGAAATTCGAACTGGTGATATATTTAAACGTTTTGTTTTAAATCGGATCAAATTTGTGACATCAAGAGAATCCACAAGCTCAATATGTGATTTTTCGTACAATCAGAGGCAATAATCCAAGACGTTCTGGTCTGATATATGCGAATATCCAAAGGAACTGGGGTCATTGGGATATAAACATATATTTTCAGTTTCATCAAAATCAGACCAAAAATCGGTCCTCTAGCAGCTCCACAACATTCGTATTACATACTTTTGCACTATTTCCGTTCAAGAAGCGGATATTTTGTCGGGCAGTTTCGGTCCGATTTTTACAAAATTCGAAGTCAATCATCACCAGTGTGGAACGGTGATACATTTGAACGCTTTTGAAAATCAGATAAACTTTGCGACACCTAGAGGGTACACAAGCTAAAATCGCGATATTGTATTCGTACAGGGATCATAATCCAGGAAGTTACGGTTCGTTATGCGCGAATATCGACATGAACCGAGATCTTTGGGATATAAACACATATTTGAAGTTTCGTCAAAATCGGATAAAATTTGTGACCTGCAGAGTGTCCACAAAGAAATTGTAGACGGACGGACATGCGTGACGACAATATACGTCCACGTGAAAATGTAAACGCATAAAAATGAATGTAGTTTTAGCAACCAGACGTGATCCAGTAATGAATTTGTTGGCAATATCTGTTTTGTAGCTTCATTGGAGTTTAATAGAATGTAATCCATCGAACTTCGCTAAAACATCTTTCTTTAATAGGAAAGTGATAAGATATTTTATGAATTGTTCTATTTTAAATATAGATCGTCCAAAATTGATTATACTTATTAACCTAACCCGTGACAGAACTCCACGCCATGTCAAATTCACTAACTTTCAAGAGTGGCAAGACCACTTACTGAATATATCTAAAATTTCAAACGATTCACTTTAGGTTATTCATTTTCCTGACAAAGTACTTGATACCAAGTCAAATCAAATATAATTACACAATTAATTGTTTATCGTCACGAGGGGTTACATTTCAAAGTGTTGGTATGCACTTACCTCCAATAGCCAACGGTAATAAAATCTGAAGAAACATCCTGTAAAGACCGCTTATTATGACGACTGACGTCTCCCTTCGAGTCAAAGATTAAAATGTGCAGGTTACTTGAAAACAGTTGCTTTACCATTTGAGGGTTGTGTGCATATTGAAGTCACATGAGGAGTTATGCTCTTTTACGGAATTGTATTCATATTGAAACTAGGTTTTCTACGAATCAAATGGGGCAGTTACCAGAAGGCTACGCCCACTTGCCATCAAACATCATGTTTTAGGATGTTAGCTTTTCGCAGAAGAAGCATACATTTTAATAAACTGAATCAAGTAATATTAATAATTCATTATTCATGTATAGAAGCCCTGCGGCGAAAATACATATTTAGCATAAGGAAGGTGCACTTATTTCAAGTTTAATTATCTTTGGTGTTGATAACATTAAAGCGGCATTTTGGAGGATTAGGTACAGAGCTGACAGTTCTCGCTGTAATAGTTAAATAATAGATAATGAAAACATAATATTTATAAAATTTAAGTCTAATTACCTCACCCTGAGCCACGGAATCGACTATATAACTGGTTTAAACAGTATTTATTGCGAGAATATTATACAAATAAAGGCATAAAGAAAAGGATACAAAATCAAGCCAAGTAGGCTTACATTAATTTGCTTCCTTCTGTATGGTTTGGGCCTATAATACATGAACAATTTCAAATAATATATAATTACATTACATTAATAATGGTAAAAAGATAAGAGAATTTTCAATAAATAAATTGCTCACCCAAAGGTTTAATTTACGTGTTTATAACCAAATGATCGCGGTTCCTGTCGATATTTGCGCATATCGGGCCACAACTTCCTGGATTATGACCCCTGATTGTACGAAAAATTACGTTTTTAGCTTGTGGACCCTCTGGAGGTCACAATTTTTATCCGAATTTAACATAACGTTTCAATAGATCACCGTTACATCCTAATCGGACCGAAACTGCCTGACAAAATGACCGCTCCTTGTACGCAAATAGTGTTTAAGTATGTAATGCCAAGGTTTTGGACCCTCTAGAGGTCACAATTTTTATTCGATTTTTATGAAACTTAAAACATATGTTTATATCCCGACGATCTCGGTTCATGTAGAATATTCAAGCATATGGGACCGTAACTTCCTGGATTATGGCCCCTGATTATACGAAACATTACAGATTATGACATCAGCAGTTGGTCCACAAACGTGTTAGTATAGGTTCGAACCTCTCAAACAAGTATCAACACTTGAATCATCGTGTAAATTGGCAATCAAATGAATATCGATTTCCAGTAGTTGCAAAATTAACCAAGTTTTATCCATCCGATTAGATTTTATTACATACTTCGAGAAGGTATTTGTTGAGTAATAAAACTTTCTAGTAGTTTATCGAGGGCTGGCCGTCCTTACCGCACGGTACAAATAAAACCTTCTAGTAGTTTATCGAGGTTCGGGTGCTCCCGGGGTCCAAAATGACCGCTTTATATAAATGAGAATTTTGGGGATAACTAACCCGATCCCTAACCCTTTTTAAAAGACTGAACTTGCGTCTAATTTAGTTTTTACTTCTTTTAAAAGGGTTGGGGTTAGGGTTCGGGTTAGTATTCCCCTAAATACTCATTTGTATAAAGCGGCCATTTTGGTATGAGTTCTGGCTTGTTCTGGAATTTGTTGCTTCTAGTGGTGATAATATTTGTACTGTGCGGTAAGGAAGGCCAGCCCTCGATAAACTACTAGAAGGTTTTATTACTCAACAAATACCTTCTCGAAGTATGTAATAAAATCTAATCGGGTGTTTTATCAGCGTGAGAGTGCGTTTTCATTTGCACGTTTAACTATGATAGAAGAAACGGTTTATACTAATCACCGACAAGACTGATGTTTCTTATTTTTTGGTTAACAGCGCCCACAACAATATTATAAAGAGTGACCGACAAAGATATATATCTTATTGATATGATTTTATAAAAGAAAATTGACAAAATCATGGTTTAAACAGGTCACAATTCTATGGAATACATTACTCGGCAACGTTTCCGACAGTTTCGGTCCGATTTCCATGAAATTCAAACTCAATCATCAATATGGTGTGACGGTGATGTATTTGAACGGATTTGCAAATCGTATAAAAATTGTGACCTCTAGAGGGACCACGAGCTAAAAACACGATTTTTCGTACAATCAGGGGCCACAATGAAAGCAGTTTGGTCCGGTATGTGCGATTATCGAAAGGAACCGAGATCGATGGGGGTTATAAACATACATATCACGTTTCATCTAAATCGGTTAAAAATTGTAACCTCTAGCGTGCCCACAAGCTAAAAACGTGACTTTTCGCACCATCAGAGACCATAATCCATGAGGTTTGAATCCGATACATGCCAATATCGAAAGGAACCGAGATGTTTTGGGGATAAACCTATATATCAAGTTTCGTCAAAATCGGATTAGAATTGTGACCTGTAGAGTGTCCGCAAACAAATTGTGGATCGACGGACAGGGGCGACGACAAAATACGTCCACCTAAAAAAATCTTTTGGAAACAAAAACGGTGTTAATCTTAATGATGCCATAATTTTCTCGTATTCTCTCACCGGTACTAATTGTATCCTTATAACAATAATTATCTATTCGTGTTAAGTAAACTGATTGGAAAATATATAATGCAAAGCCTTTATACAAAAATGTTTGGGAAGGGAAGGGATGAGGAACCATCTTACGTCCAGGTGGAATCACCAACAGGAGGTTGCGAACCACTGGTTTAGACTAAAGATCAGTTGAACTCCAATTTTTCACTTTTAAATGATTTTTTGACATGTATTGTATATTAAATACGGATCTTAATTTATGACGACATATTAAATGGGTCAATGATGTTTACCCAACCCTTTATGTGGCAATTATTGTGAAATGTTTATTCACAAAATTTGAATACATTATCTTACATATACATCACGATGCATTCATATATATAACATCAGAAAGTGGGTTTAAAAGTTAATAAAAGATTATACTCTCAGGTAAAAGTATATAGGAATATGAGGTTCTTAGAAAGAAAAACTAATTTCATCTTAGCTAATGCTATCACCCACTACGGGGGTCATCCATTTGATAATGAAATAGTAAACAATCACATGACGTCATGGCGTTATTATAATACATTATCTTAATGAGCAAGACAATAATAATAGTTGCTTTACTATTGAAAAGAGTAACATGTCTTTAAACTTTTTAGATGTTACAGTTATATTGTCAAATAATGGCGAATTAAAAACTGACCTATATTATTATAAACCAACAGATACACACCAATACTTAAATTTTAATTAATGCCACCCTCCACACACAAAAAGAAATATACCCCTTAATCTGGCTAGAAGGGTCTGCACTAGTGTATCTAATTCAGAAACAATATTATTACATTAAAACAATTTTTACTTGAACAAAATTACCCATTAAAACTCATACAAGAAGCTAATCGAAAAATCTTAGAAATGGATCCAAAAGATTTAAGAATCCCTAAGGATAGACATACGATTGAAAACACAGAAGAAAATGTCTCAACATTAGTTTGAACATATAACCCTACTCAAGAAAAAGCCAGGGCTGTAATAAATAAGCATACATATTTCTTAAGAAATATGTATGAAAAATGTCTGAAATATGGGATGAATTAGTTTTTTCTTCATAAAAATATTTATTCGTTCTAAAAACCTCATCTGAAGACGCCTATAGAAGGCAGACATGAAATGAAATGGGGTTTAACGTCCTACTGTTTTGCTCCTAAACAGGGCTAATGAAGACGGGAGAAGGCAGACAGCTAGCGTATATGATTTAATGTATGTCAGAATGAAGTAAAGTGGAGATTTTTTTACCTGGACGTATTTTTTTATTATTTATTTATGCATTTATCTACCGTAAACAAAGAAGTACTTGTACTTTATCTTTGGTATAATTAAAATTAAATCTGGCAAAATAAAACTACATTTCATGCTAACGTTTTCACCGCGACAGCGGCTCGTCAGGCATTTATTAATCAATCATTCAATATATATTAAACATCAATGCTTATCTCATCATTTAATCCAGTTTGATATAAGGAAAAGATTCCTTTATGAATTTTAAAATATAATCTTTTACACTCTTATGTTTTTTGTAGTAGATATTTACATACACATTATACATTATCTATTAGCAATCTTTTAAATAGTGGCTTAACGTCTATAATATATCAATCTTTTAAAGCTAACATTCTTCTTTTATATTTAACTAATCTAACTGTACATAAAATAATAGGATCTGTGTTTTAACCAGATTGTCACTTACTTTACCTATCTTAAAGAGCTTTGTCTTTTATCATAATATGTTATGTACAATTTAAGAACACAGTGTACATAGTACGCGCCTAGAGCGTGCATTTGTGGATGGATTGACACTTTACAAATATACAAAGGTTCGTGACTAGCATAGTGTCACATCTAATTTGTTTTCGGTACCGAGACACAGGTTAGTGTCACATCGAAACGTAGTGTTTTAATTTTGTGAAATATATTTCTATGTGTCTTATAAGGAATATTTTATTTCAGATCAGCAAAGACGCTTGGTAACGTGAAAACAAAAATTATTATTTCATCTAATAATAAACTAATTTTGCTTTTGGATTAAAGCAATTTGTCTGGAGCCTCTCTACATTGTGCGGGGGTTTGGATGGCTGAATGGTTAGCGTCCGCGCGCTTTATCATAAAGTCTGTCATTGAGTCGACTGGCGTGGTTTCGAATCCCTGGTTGTACGTGACAAGGAGTAGGGTCGCCTGTCCAACCTCGTGGGTTTTCTTCGGGTCCTCCGGTTTCCTCCCACTGCTAAAGACCCCTACGCGCAAGCGAATTATTGAAATAAAATTAAACCATATTTTAGTCCCGAAATGACCTAGTTTGTGTCGAGTGGACGTTAAACCCCATTTCTCTCTCTCTCTCTCTCTCTCTCTCTCTCTCTCTCTACATTGTGCGACATTTTTCGGGCATCGATTATTTTTTGTCAATGAAGCTTTCCCAAAACAACAGGACGGTAAACCCCATTTCAGTAACTTTAATACAATTTTCTATTTTATAAAGTACGAAGTATTATTTAGATC